CCGCTCTTAGCGCGCTTTGCAAGATGATAGATGTAAGATATTAGCACAGAGGAGCCTGCCTGCCCTGGGCCCTGCATCAGCTCCAGCAAATTCTGTGCATCTCTGCTGGCAAGCGGGAGATGGAAATTTAAATGAGCATGTGGATCCCCCCCCAACACCGACTAAAAGAAAATATTGAATGTTCCTGTACCACAGTAATGTTATAACATCTGGGCCTTGTATCTCGATCACTAATGTTTTATAGGCATTCTGCTATGTTTTATATGTTGAAATCGAAGTAAATAAATCCCGTGTCACTAACCATTCCCACAATGCCGCGTCTATATAGGGGATTATGGATGCAGCCAGATCTGTCTGAGCAAGCAAATGCTCTATTTCTAACTAAATCAGGGTTTGCAGCATACAAAATAACGGCATTTACAGTCACGGGATTCCTTTTTCCAGCAGATGGTTTGTGGTGGTGTTAGTCCCTGGTAGGTGAATGCTGTGGAGGGGATTTTCTTTCAAGGATTGCTGTTGTACTTGGGTTTTAATTAAGTTGTGGGAAAACAGCCTAAGTGCTTCCAGGCAATCTCGGTTAACACGAAGGCTCCTGTATGTGATTACACGGGGTGTGGGGTTTAGCCTAGGTGGCTGGCAACTCCACGTTCTGCTAAGAAGCCGCTTGTCTGTAGCACTTAGTTTTAATCACAGCTGTAGCGTATTACAGCTCTGGCAGATGGAGCATAGCATGCAATGAAACCATGCAACATTTACCTTTTAGCATCCTTTAAATAAAGGAAAGGAGCTGCTCCAGCCACCTTGGAGTAGATAGCTGTAATGAGCCTTTTTTCCCCTGAAATATTTTCCAAAGGCAGGTTTATGGAGTCTTTGTACTGAAAACAATGCTGAGTGCTTGGGGCAGTGGTGAGGCACTTGCTAGACAACTGTGGTCTAATGCAAATAGGAAGAGCCCTCAAAGCCCAAGAAGCTAATCAGCACCTTAAATACACCGTAAAGCCGCTGTGTTGCTCAGGAAGAGGCTGATGCTACTCAAAGGTGCGTGGTTTAATAGATGCACAGGAGAAGCTCTGTGCATCTCTAGTGCTTTTTGTCAGCACATCTCCAGCTTGGTGGAGTTTTAGGCCTCTCGGGAGAAGGCGAATATAATTTTCCTTGTTTGTCAAATGAGGGATGCTGAGGCAGGGTTAAGCGCCATCCCCAAGGTTATATTCGTGGCGGGCACAGAAATCATATTAGGATGTGGACAGACCAGACAGTCATCCCATCTTACAGCAGGTGAGGGGACTCGCCCGGTTTGCGTGTCCTTCCTGTCCTGCGCTAAGTGGGCACCCAACCGGAGCAGCTTACCCCCCGAATGAAACGTTTGCTAAAATTATACGCTTTACCTTCCACTTATCTCAGGCTAGAACAGATGCAACAAGCAGCTACCACCCCTCCGCCTGACTTGTGGCAAATACATCCCCTTTCAGCTCGGCTCACTTGTTTCATCTCTGCGCTTCAGGTGCTCTTTGCCCACCTCCATTTTTGTTTTGTGTTCCCAGGGTCTCGTGCAAGAACCCGTGGCTTTGTGGTCAGGGGGTTAGACTTTTGCATTTTAAGGTGATAGAGGTAGCGTCTAGCTCGGCAATTCCTTACTTCTGTAGAATACTGCTACCTTGCCTGTTCCCTTTACGTGCAAAGCAGGCAGAGGCGCAATGCGGATGCTAGAGCTTAATGTGCATGGTGGTTCCTTGCTCTCAGTCCTTCAGCCCATAGACAAACGCAGACCTGTAAGGGGCTGTTGTTCATGGTTCGGCAGAATGGGAACACGGGAATCATCAGTGTGAAGCCACTTGAGAGCATGTCTCCTCGTGGTATGTTTTATATCTTGGGAAGTGTTTAGATGGGAGGAAAGGGCCTGTGGAAGTGTTAAGATCAGGTCGCCTGCTGTCCTCAGAGTGAGATATTGCTACACTAAATTATTATTCTGATGATAACGCAATCATGTGCTTAACCTGGTGTATTATATATACTTCACTATGTCCATGCCTATGCTATCAGAGTCCATTTATGTCATTAAGAACGTATACAGTATAGTCCTGTGTTTCCTCTCGCATCATCTAGTCCAGTTTCCTAGAAAGGCCAAGTCCAGAAGATGACCGACTACGAGACTGATGTCCAGGGAAATTCCAGTGCCCGCAAGAGCTTGCATAATGCGCGCTGTGCACCACGTCTCGGTGGCAAAGCTCTTTGCAGCTTCAGGGGCCAGCTGCAAGCCTTGGTGAACGGCAGTGGCCAGGAACCACATCTCCTACTGCACCCTCACCCGCCGAGAGTTGTTTCTCATTTCCGTGCCGGTGGCCACTTGAGTCAAGCTTCCTATCTACGGTGCTTGAATGGTTGCTGTTTTCGGAGCTCCTAAAAACAAACAAACCAGGAAACCCCTTTAATAGACCATATTTTCTCACATAAAGCACACCTTTTCCCCGCAAAATCATCAGCTGGCAATTGGGGTGCTCGTTTTATATGAGGAAATATGGTAACACAGTTTCTGCCATTTAAACTTCTGCCCGGTGAAGTTGGAAGCAACCCTGCAGCCAGTCCACAGGGAGCAGGGCAAGGAATTAGGGTTAGGGTTATGCCTAACTGTTGCTACTCAGTTACTAAAGACCTTCTTTCTTCCTTCTGCCTTGCAAGAGCAAGGTGTGCACCTTCCCTTGGAGCACGTTGCATGTGAGAAAGTACGGCAGCGCTGCGAATTGCAGCTGGCCCTGCCGAGGCCCAGCTCGCACCCTTGCTTTTCAGGTGTCCTTCTTCACCCGGCCGCGGGCTTCCTCATTAGGACGGGAGCGGGGAGAGGGTCAGCGGGGAGACGTGCGCAACTCGAACTCAGCTCCGTTTCATCCGGTGCCACCATGCGAACCTCGGCAGCCCCAGAGGTTGACACAGCTGCCTGTTCTCCGGGATCCCCGCGGCGGGGCTTGTGCTCCTCCGTTAGAAACACTCGCTTTGCTGCACGGTAATTACAGGGCACGTCTTTGCTCCCTTTAGGAGAGCACCTGGATGTGAGCGCAGCTTCAGAGGCCTGTAATAGGGCTACTGCATCTCGAACAGCACGTGGAAGGGGTAGCCAGCGGCTGGCGCCGAATGCTGCGGCAAAGCATTTCTTTCGGAGGTTTCTCTCCCTGCTTCTGTGGAGACTTGCGAGCAAATATAGGAGGTTGGTAGCCAATGGCAACCACCACATTAAATGACTAGACTGTCACACTAAGCACTAATAAATGTAACTATTACATTTTACAATTCTCTTTTTCTTTGCAGCACATCTTCATTTAAAGGTAATGCTCTCCAGGGTTTGCATTTTGCTGATAGGATACCAGGCCTTAATTTACAGATATTCTTCAGTAATGCGCGGTTTATATACGTTCTGTTAATAGCATTATGAGCATAGTTTGTACTAATACAAAATTAGAGCTCTAATTTGCATAAACAAATTACTGTTTGGATTAGCGCTAAATGGTTAAGACGACTGATATTTGAGTGGATTGGATTTGGCTGGCACAGCTCTGTTTGCATAACGGCATATGTACAAAAATGAGCTGCTTGGATGTGGGCGGGTATCCTCCAGGAGAGGTTGGGCCGTCCACTGCAGGGGCTTCCCGCAGCCAACGAGCACAGATAAGGAGAGAGGGTCTGAGGGGTTGGTTCACTACCTATTGCGGCTGCGCTGCATCCGATGGGGTCATATACAGATCCCAGGAATAATCCACCCCTTCAGTGTTGCAGGAGTCCCAGGGTTGTGTGCTTGGGTCGCCTCTCCAGGCCCTTTCTCCCTCTGGCCTCTGGGATGGTATGGGTCGGTCTCCATTCTCCCTTGCACTGCCTGTAAAATCCACTTTTACAGCAGAAGGAGAAACAGATGCCAGTCGCTGTGCATACGATCCTAGTCTTTCAGTTCCCGGTCTCTGCCCCGTCTGCTAGGGTGGGCACCAGGCAGCTCAAAGAGCCCATGTTAGCCATGCCAGGTAAGAGGCAGAGGAATAGCCAGCAGGACTCGCACAGAAGGCCCTGAAAAGCATGTGGCCAAACAGCCGGAGTGAGCTGTGGATCACCAAACTAAAGCATTAGGGCCCCGTGCACGTCGAGCAGTTAGTTGTGGGCACGGTGTGTGGCGGGTCGTCCCACCAGCGTGCAGAATGGCAAGCCTGCGTTCATAGCACTCCTTGTTGCAAATGGGACTTGACGTCTCTCTGGGTTTCCTTGGCACTTCCGTCTGGAAAGCAGGGGCACCCTAGCAGTCCTGACCTCTGAACATGCAGTAGTGAAGCTACCTTCTCAGGCATCCGTGCAAAACAGGGAGAGACCAGGAGGAGGAGAGAGAGATGATTTATCTTGGCATCCAAATGAGTGCTCCACTGAACTTGGCTTTCCAGTGCTTTGGTGCCCACGAATCTCCCATGAGCTGGACTGCAGGGACGGGATATTTTTATGCAGCTTCCATAAGACTATCCCATATGAATATGAATATCCCTTAAGAATATTCCATACGGCTATTCCAGCAGATGCTTTTTGGGGGAAAATGTGTGCTGTATGTGAGAAAATACGGTATATTAAAGGGGGGGTTCCTGGTTTGTTTGTTTTAGGAGCGCCATTACTCAGTTAGGAATAGCCTAGCCATGGTACCCAGAGTTGGGGAAAGCCCTTAAGGAAGTAATCAGTGGAGTTAAACAAAGGGAACGGGGATTCAAGGAGTCTTCTCCCACCAGAGCTGTGATACAGGGACTCTCCTCCCCTCTGTGCTTGTTGCAAGGATTGCGAGGTATCCCATATCTTCCCGTGGGGTGTTAGCAGGTACCGGCCCTTTCGGACTGCAGCTGGTCACCACTGAGGCTAGGCCATGTCACCCGAGTGCTGTCTGCAGCCAGAGAGGCGCCCAGGGATCTTAGAAGGGCAGCTTTGTGCAGCAGCTGTATGGACACACAGCTCACCTCCTCTTCTTGGCTTTTTTGTCTTTGCAGATCTCTGGTGTTAAACCGAATGCGCCAGTCGCCTCAAGGAGGCAAGTCCCCGCAGCTGCAGCAGAGATGGAGGAACAAAGGGTATCGTTGTATAGGAGGCGTGATGTACAGGGTGTCAGCGAACAAGCTGTCCAAAACCTCCAGCCCCCCAGACCGGGGCAGCGACCTGAGCAACAAGATACACGTCAAACCGGGTAAGGGATGAGAGAGTCTCTGTTCTCTGGTGCAAGTTCAGGCATCCGCCTGAGTCCTTCAGCAAGATTGGGCAGCATTTGCGTGTCTCTGAGCTCACAGCATCGCACAGTGAATGGCACACTTGTGTTCCCCACTTGCTAGTGGAGGGTCCCAGCTACCAAACGGTCAGGAAGAAGCATAAGCCTTTGAAGGTAGTTTCTGTGCTGGGAGAGAAATAAGCTGATTCAGACAGAGTGCTACATCCTCTTGTCTGATGTATTGAGAAATATGCGTGCTCCCAAACAGGGAAATTAGATGCTGAAAGCTAAGTGCCACTTACAAAGATGTAGCACCACTTTGTTAAAGTTCTTGGGTCAGCCTATGTTTCTGCTACAGCTGCATCTCCCCAGGCAGGGTTTCCCTTCCCTGTGCAAATGTGTTAAATTGTGATGCATCTGGGAAAGAGCTTTCAGGAGCGTGTCCCCAAATAGCACGCGTGGTCTCCCTGTTGGTCAGCCTGAATTCAACTGACATCAGCCCTCCCCTGAAACACAGCAGCTCTAGGTCACGAGTGTCTAGGTACTGCAGTGATGGGTCCCCATAACTAGCTAAGGGTATACCTACACTAAAAAAAAAAAAAAAAAAAAAAAAAAAAAGACCCAGCTATCTGTGTCGTTAACATGGGCTGCCTAATCTTGGATGGCTAACTTGGGTTAAGCACTGGAAATAAGGTAACCCAGAGCTAGCAGCTGGAGTGGAAGCCCGGTCACTTCACCTCCATCGCTGTTTTAACCCAGGGTAAGAACACCCCCGATTTTTACGATACAGCTATACCCCCTGCATAATATAGCTGGCTGGGAATGGCTTATCAAGTGCAAAGGCATTTGTTGCATTTCCCCAAATTAAGCTTAATATTGATCCAAGAGTAACAGCAGTGATTCTTTCTGCAGATACCCATTAAGCATAATTATCAGTGTTTCATCTTTAGCCTGTCAGCTAAATGAGGTGTCAGCCGTCGGCTGTAGTTGAGGTAGAAGAGCATGGTGTCGAGCGCTAGTATGCATTTCAGTTCCAGTCGTGTTTAACGTCTAGCTTGGTGTTTTCTGCTTGAAGTGGTTCCCGGGCTGAGGGCCTGTTGTGCCTTTCCCAGTTGCCACCTGCACCCAACACGCATGTATTCTGTAGTCGCGATAGCAAAGAAGATCAAGAGGGACAATTAAGCTTGGCGGAGTAGAACAATTGGCCCATGGCAGCATTTTGGGTGGGGGTTTTGCAGGACGGGTTGAATTTTGTTTCCTGAGACTGCATAGAGTGCAAGGGGTGGAGGGTGGAGGCATGGATGAGTGCTGCTTATACCTGGATTTACAATTGAAGGCTTAATTTGAGATGCTGCGTAAACGTGAGGCTGAAAAGGGAGCTTGGCACTTGTGAGCGCAGACAGAGCAGGCTGCGTGAAAAGGCTTAGCTTCCTGGGGACAAAGGCGTCTCAGCTGGGATCGCTAGAGTGGAGTAGGGTAAAAGGGCCCCGTTCTCCGCGGACGCCGTATGGCTGTTTCCTTGCCCAGTTGGGGGAGCATCCTTTAATTTTAGTAGGCTCCCTCCCTCTCCTCTGTTCAGCTAGAGGAAATGGGCACGGTATGATAAGCAGTGGGGGGATGAGCGCTTGGGGCCTGCCGACCACAACGCAACCAGAATTGAAATCCTTCTCTGGCCGTGTCTGGCAAGCAGCGTCTCAGCAGTGCTCCCCAAACTCCAACTGCACGCAAGTGCGGATGAAGTGGGGCAAAATTTTGGGGATTGATCCGTATCCAAATGAACTCCCCCAAAATCAGTCTACCTCTAGTTTCCCCCTGCAAACAACCCCAGAGAGAGCCAAGGCCAAAGACAGCAGGGGAAATACTGACAAGGGACGCCCGCAGCCAGCACGGTTAAACAAACCCATAAAGAAGAGGATTAGGGGCTGAGCATGAGAGCTGTGAAGAGGCACAGAAAGCCTGTCAGCAGGAGCATCGGAGCTGCCGCTGGAAGTTTGGAAAACATGAGCAGAAATGAAGCGCAAACGGCAGCATCGCCACAAAGAGTAAACCTCCCTCCCGTCCGCCGTGCGGGCAGTAAGTGTCGTGAGAGAAAATTGAGAGCGGGAAATGTAGGGCAGGCGAGGGAAGGAACGGCAGCGGTGATAAATGCTTACGGCACATCATCTCCGTAGGTGAAGAGGGCAGAGGTATAGCTTAAACCAAGGATTAGCTTCCCAGGCCCTGCCGATGGGAAATGAAGAAGCGCGCGGATAATGCTCGAGATGATGATGTTGAGGAGGTCGGAGGGGCGCAAAGTTGATGAAGCATCGTTTCCAGGTAATCTGCCTTCGGGGAGCATTAAAAGAAGTCTGGACAGCGCTTTGGAGAGGAAGCCGGAGCCGGCGTTTTCCCAACTTAGTCCTGTTCTGTGCAGTGCTGGCTTCGTGTTTTCACAAAGATGTGGAGGGATTCAAGGAGGTCCAGAGGTGGGTGGCAAAGCTGAGAAAGGGGTTGAAAGGCCTCCTGGGGAGAGCCTGAGAGAAGCAGGCATGTCACACTAGCAGAAAAGACCATCAAATTGGGAGAGGGCACGACGGCAGTCTTCACATCTCCCTAAAGAAGAGGAGTTCTTCACTGCAGTTTTTCAAGAGGAGACTGGATAAGTATTGGACAGGGATGGTTCAGGAGTATTGCTGCATTTTTTGCAGGGGTTTGGGCCAGTCAGACCTTGAGGTCCCTGCTGAAACTGTGGTTCTAGGAAATAAGTACTCCATTGCCCGCTCCATGGGTGGATACTGTGCTCTGCCTTCCCCACCTTTGCTTGTGCATGTGAGCGTGGGTGTGTACACCTTGCTGGTGGTTTTAAAAGATCGTGATTCACAGACAGTGAAGGTTGGCAGGGACCTCAGGAGGTCACATCTAGTCCAACCCCCTGCTCCAAGCAGGACCAGCCCCAACTACATCATCCCAGCCAAGGCTTTGTCGAACCAGGTCTTCAAAACCTCCAGGGATGGAGAGTCCACAGTCTGTCTAGGTAACCTGTTCCAGTGTTTTAATACCCTCCTAATGACAAAAATCTTCCTCATATCTAACCTGTTCCACTGGACCTATCAGTTTGTTGCCACGTGCCGTGGGGGAAGACATGGGGAGTGCGCACTTTGCAAAGGGTTGAGCAGGATTGGGGGGGGGGAAGGAAGCTCAGCTAGACCCCAGTCCAAGCAGGACAGGCCAGGAAGCCCCACGTGCAAGGTCTTTGACACTTTCCAAAGTGCCCACGTGTCTCGACTGCTCTTAACTTTCAGTGGCACCCGATATCATGCACTTTGAAAATGCCACGGTAAAGCCCATGCTCCCAGAAGGAGAGACGTTGGTGTGAGTGTAGATGCCTCATTTCCAGGAGACGCACTGGAAGGTATGCTTCTGGGCAGAGCTTGCTGCATTATGAAGTGGTAGAAGGGTTGTAGGCATTCAGAGGCACGGCATATAGACTATTTCACAGGGAAGAAGGTCGCAGGGTGAAGCCTCCTCCGTTCTGTTAGGGACACGTGAGAAGGTGCCTGTTGTGTGGCAGTGAGACTTGTTGCAGTCTCACCCATCCAGTCCATTCAACTTTTCGGCTTTGCCCCCTCTCTGGGCAAGCAGTCTGGGCCGTCGGTGGGTGCACGCACTCGTTCTTACTTTGCGCTTGATGGATTCTGGCTCCTTGAATCGGCTTTCCCGTTGCCATCAGGGTACAAATAAGCACTCTCCGCTTGGAAGGACTTACCTGGCTGGCTGCCCACAGAGCACCTTTAAGTCGCTGAGGCTTTTGAGTGTTTCCCCGTTTCCTCAGCAGCCTTTCCTCACTGAGGAGAGCACGTGCCAGCCTTGAAATGGGAGTTTTGAACCAGTTTTTTTTTTCCTCCAATTATCCGAGTGCAGAGAAGTACGTGAGCAATTTGTTAAGCTGCTGGAAAGTGGCAAATTCACTTTTCAGCAGCTCAGCACGGGCTGGATGTGCAAAGATTGTCTAGGAATATCCAGGTCTAGGCTGAGACCATGCAGGAGGCAGTTTCGAGGCGAGAAACTTAAGTCTTAGATACAACCGGCTCTAGGCAGCATCATTTCTTTTGTGACACCAGGGTGGGGAGTGTGGGTAGTCTCTGGTGCCCCAGTTTGGGAGAAAGCACCGGGAAAGTGATGGCGATGGCAGCACTAACCACAACATAGGGACCAGCCTGCTTGGGGCGGCTATTCAAGTGTGCCAGCATCCTCCTTCCTTCTGGCTTCCTCTGCGTGGGGGAGATGGGAAACCCACAGAGCTGTGGCTGCAGTAGACCGTTATCCTCTTCTGTTCCACTGACTTGAACTGCAAGGTAGGGTAGATCCAAAGTTCAGCAGTCGCCTTCCAGCGACTTGGAGACAAGACCCAGGAACTCTCTGTCCCGAGAGCACAGGCCCGTCTCAGTTTAAAAGCTAAAGAGGAGTCTCCTTTCAACGTGAGCAGTGAGCGGTCTATGACACACAGGTGGGCAGCTGTGCTCCACCAGAGGGCAGTAGCGCATGCACGCACAGCCCGGGTTGTTTCCTCTGCTGGTAAAAGCAGCAGGGATTAAATCCATTAAAGCAGGTGCATGAGGATGACCCCTTAATGATCCGCCTTACTGTGACACCGAATACCGGGTTCCTCGCAGCGGGCTTGCGGAGCGGGACGAGGGCCAGCGTTCAGCAGAGCTTTTTATTTCATTTTGAAAAAACCTGCGGATGTGTTTTCCCATAGAAGGTGTCGTCGGGGAGCGCAGGCTGCTAGCCGGTCTGTTCGTGCCGTTGATACCAGCAAGAAGCCAGCACTCCCTTGATTGCTCGTGTCCTCACTTACACCCGGGGAACCGCTGAGACCCACTCGGCTTTTTTTGGTGCTCCTGATGTCAGTGACCAGCGCAGGGGAAACATGAGACCCCATGCCTGGGCTTGCTGGGCGGATGAACGGTAGCGGCTTGCAAGGGTGACGGTGTCTAAAGATG